ATCCAGGAAATTCTTAAGAACTACTTTGGTAACAAAATAACACCCACCTCAGATTTACTATTAGATAATTTGGAAAAGACTGGCAAAGGACTGGAAAGAGAAATAGTGGCTGATTGCACCAACTCAGTCATCTGATTTGTGGTGGGTATGAATCTCATCACCAAACGACAGAACAAAAAAAGTCACTCAAAGATAAACAGGAATCAGATTTGAATAAAGACTTTGTAGATGATATAACAAGACATGTCCAGACACTGGGTACTCAAGGCTTTTAATGACACAGTAAGCTGTGCAAGAATGAAGTTCAACCCTCAGAAATCAGTAAGTTAAATCATGTAGAAGAACAGCTACATGTACTAAGAAATTCAGATTGAAGTTATCATGCGAAGAGATCCCTTCAATGGCAAAGAAATCTGTAATGTGCCCAGGAAAGAAGTCCAGTTTAAGCTGGAAAGTTGAACAACTAGCATTGACAAGACCAAGCTCCTAGTGAAATATGGATGTGCAAGCATTTCTACTTAGGCTGTTATAGCCAATGACCCTCTACGAGGTCTTCAGTACAATAGAGACATTTAAGAGAACGGTCAATGAAGTAGATGAGTGGATATAATATAATGTCAACAAAGCGACGGTTAAAATAGTGTAGAAAAAATTGCCAAAAATTGTCCCTTTTGTATTTTAAAGAATTACATATTCATAACGTTGCATGTCCTCTTCTTTCAAATAAAATCTAATTGAGTGGTTCAACTCTCCATTTTATAATTACTTCCTAACTGGAGAAAAAATGTTCAACAAAAAAGTTTCATTTAAAAAAAACTTTTTAAAACGGAGAAAAAATAACATTTCCTTTAAAAAAAAAATTCTTGCTCTGAAAATTTTGAATTCCAAATAGCACATACCAAACTTTTTCCTACTCTTCAAATAAATGTCATCATCCAATGTATCTTACCTGCTTTAACTGAATTGACAATACTAATATGTGGATAGGAACAATTTTCCAAAATTAGTTTGCATTTATCACATAAGTTAACTTCTAATACAAGAATTTTTGTCAAAATTATTTTTAAGATAAATTGTATTATATCTTTTTTAAAATCTATTTTAAGTGCGTGAAATATACTTTTCGAATATGCCACTGATATAATGTGGATAAAGTATATTACTAACAGAGTGTGGTTGGACTGCGCTCGTACAGTCATGTTGCGTCCAAAACTGTAGCGTGTGTTGGTATCTCATCTCGGATACTCCCGCATACAGCAGTGGGCAGTCAGTGGTAAAAATTCATTTAAAACATTAATGATGCAGGTGTATGCCAAACCGATTTCGATGAATGATCTGATAGTTAGAATATCTAAAATAACTAAATTAATGATCTTCAAAACTGCATTGATATAACATATTTTTGTACGAAACATATAATTTTTGTACAGAGCTTCACAAAACGTAGTTTATTGCTGTGGAACATAAAAACCCGATAAACTATAATAGCAAGCATTCTTGAATAGGTATTTGGCCCGTCTTCTTCAACAATCTTCTTCCTACGCAAATAGCTAGGTACCCCATCATCCTTCAAAAGCCTAGGACTGTACAGTATTTTATCCGAACTCCGATTAATAGTATCATCCCTGATAGAAGATATCAAGATTGTAAAAGCCAGGTTAGTTATCGTCTTAACGGATGGTTTGTTTGTTGTTTAGCGTCCTTTCGAGACTTTTTCGTTCATATTGAGACGCAAACACTTGCCGGTGAAGGGCTGCAAATTTAGACTTATACTCGGCTCTCAGGGCAGTGAGGGATCTTTTTCGTGCCAGCACCTACTGCGTCACGGGACCTCGGTTTAAACGGTCTCATCCGAAAGACCGATCTCTACATCCCGCACTGGGATTGGAATCCAACACGTAAGGATCAACTCCTTACTCCGCGACTCTAGAGCAAACGGTCTAACCACTGCACTACGCCGGCGACCTCTTAACGGAAGATGAGAAGATTCGATAAGCAAGAATAGGGGTAAAAAGAGGAGTACACAGAGAGAGACGGGTGAAAAGTAACAACACAGAGAAAGGTGGGATGGTTTAGTCACAAATACATGCATAAAATGGAAGAGGAAGAGCTAGAGAAGCCAAAATGGGGGGATGGGGGCTGAAAAAAAACTACACACACAGAAAGGTTAGGATGGACCAGGCAGAAATAATGAAATAGAAGAGACCAGGCCAGGGTGCATAGAAAAATGGGCATTGGTAAAGTGGAGAAGTGATCTAGTACTGAGGGAGCTAGCAGATAAAAAAGGCAGAACAAAGATAGACAATTCAAGCACTTTGTGAAAGAAAGCGAGACAACAACAGTCAACTAGTCAACAAAGTCGAGAAACATGCAGAAATCCATCCTGGACCAAGCAGTTTCCTGGCAGATGCAGGTGATCCTAGAGAGTCAGCATACTCGCTATGGTGAAGAAGAGTAGATCAGAGAGGGGGATATCTACAGGTTTGCAACTCTCTCTCTCTCTCCCTCTCTCTCTATATATTAACCATATAATAATATATTAACCAAGTTATCAGGATAGAGTGAAAAGTATCCAAATTAGAGGAAAAAAACATTAAAAACATATTAAGTGTTTGTAAAACAAACAAATTTGAGAATACAGCAATAAATGAAAGGATTTGTGCTGCAGTGACCAGAATTTTAGAACATTTTATCAGAGAGAGGACGTCATTTAAAAAGCATGATATTAAATAAACTTTTATTTTTAAGATGACATAATCAGTAGCTTTGTGAATGAAAATAATGAATGCACATACCAGGAAAAAAAATATTGAATTCAAATTTACTGAATTTATTTAAAATCTTTCAAATAAATTAATCTTAAGCATTTCTATATCAGTTTGTAATGGGGACAGGTATTATGAAACACCCTGTATAATAATATGTTCTCTGGTCCAGCAGTGATTGTGTTACATTAAAAGTTTAAATCTAAAGTTTAAAGTTATCTATAACTATAGATAGTTGTAGATAAGTTTAAACTTTAGATTTAAACTTTTAATGTAACAATTGTATACTGAACACAAAAGGAACTACAGAGTTCTAGCCATTTCCTTGAGTAGAGGTACAACTTCTGTATAGTTTTAGGTTTGCTTGAAATATTTTACAATCAATGACTTAAGCTGAAGCTCTGCTACTATCGTCATGCCTTCCCGTTATAACAAACACAGAGAGGATTATATCCTACAAGGCGAGAATAACCTTTGTCAATGAAATGTCTCCCTTAGGATATTTAAACTATCAAAGAATAAGCCTATTTCTATTTCCGACAGTTTCAGTAGAGTTCGCATGGCATTTAAGTTTATTTTGAACCTCGATAGTGTCAATTTCTGTTTAAAGAAGTTTAAATCTTATTTCTAAAATATTCAATGCATTTTACTGTTTTCAATCTTGCTTGAAACCCACTCTCGTATATATCTAGCCCAATTTTTATGTTACCAACTCTCCAATATCTACTTATATCTACTTGAAATACAAATATATATCGCCTGGCAGAAGTAAATGATCAAGTTTCTTAAAATTTGTTAATTAGTTGTCACTGTATTTGTAAACTTCGTAAAAATACGTTAATTTTGTTCAATTATGCTTTGAAAGAGAGCTACGTTTACTTATATGTTCGTGCCGAACAGAGAAAGACGACTGAGTTTAAATGAAAATATTGATTCGTTTTCTTTCTTCGTATTTGAAAAATATTTCTTTTATGTGAGACACACCGGAGTTTCCTTAAATCCATGGTAAGAATTTTAAAGCTAGTGGACACATGTGAAAGTTTGAAAAATAAGTGACAGCTAAACGAAGCTCCATGCCAGTGGTAAGGGTTATTTTTCAATTCTTATTTGAAATTCATTTTTGTCAACTATAAAGTTGTACGTCATGAAAAGCCCGTTTCTTTGTATAAAGACCAAATGCACCTGATATTCTAATGTTGTATTTGAATTTATAAGGAACATGTTTACTTTAAAAGTTTAATATCTGTATAAAGTGTTTTCAATAAATAGTCAATAAATTCTCGGAAAAGACTGCGTATTGACGAACGGTTAAGAAAATTATGAGACGAGTATTCAAATAAGTTACGATAAAGCATGTCTCTTGATCTTTTAATATCTCTCCTGGGAATATTTCAATACTTCTTTGAAGGCACTGAAAGGAAATTGTAAAACTTATAAAAATTAATCAACAAATGACTCAATACTCTCTTCCAAAAATTAATCTGTCAGAATGGGTCATTTGTACAAGCTCGATGTAAAAATAAATGCTTATCAAAATTTTAAATGGATAAGAAAATCCTCCCATAGAAATTCTTAAATATCTTTTTCAGCGAATGAATACAGTTGTGAAGTGCCTCTCATGAGTTGTGGACAATAGAACACTTTCAAAGCAGATCTCCATTAAATGGGAACGTATATAAATGCAGGTGAAGAAACAAAACCCTTTTTAAAATAATAAATTTGATTGAACCAAGCAAGTACCCTGTTTCTAAGGACCCGACGTACATGCAAGATACCTGTAACTGATAAAGGTAGGTTATTAATCACAAGATCTGAGAGTGATTTAAAGAAGTGGTTTAACTAAGATAACAGAGATAGGTTTAAAGGCGTTGTATTACAGCCTAAAATATATTATATCCAAATTAAAATGTCCTATTTCAGTGTAATAAAAAAATGTACCATATTTTGTCGATTAGGTTGACAATGGCATTGCTGGTGAAAAGAAGCTTAAAGATTTGAAAGATAGCGCACTCTTAGTGATACTTAACGATCTTCAAGGTGTACAATAAATTAGGCATGGTCTTATTTTTCATTTATTTTGTATTGTGCACATAAATGTAATATTTGACTGACTGTGGGTGTATTATTATAATTTTATCAAAGGAAACAAGTCTATAAGACATCGACAACAGTAAGAAACAGTTGTCTACTTCGGAAGATTTACGTGGACAACGTAAGCAGAGATTATTGGGGATACAAAACCTTCCAACGCTGCCCCTACTTGAATGATATATCTCTCTAATACCGCGATCAAACATCTTGTTTAAGAACCGTACTGTTATTGATCTATTTTTTACGGGTATACCACCGAAAAGGTTACCTTTCCCATTATAAATGAGCACAATCATTGATTTCGCGATACTTTCTCTTGCCGTTCACCCCCTGTTGTGGAGCGACCAAAGACCCTTGGAGGAACTTACATTCACAATGCGTTTATACAATTGCTTCTCATTTGGAACATATCAGCTTTAACGCTTCAATTAACTGTTTAAACTTCCAATCGGAAATTAATAATTTTCATTTTTTTATAAATTGAATTCAGAAATCCATCTTTTCAGGTGTGAAAGAAATGACGAGGAACAAAATGAAAACTTTACACATCTGATTGTAAATGTAAATAGCGTAATCAAATAGCAATACAGCCTTCTTTAGTGAGCAGTAAAGCCCGAGAGAACTGCGAAGACTGTAAAATGATTTCGGAGAATAGTGCTGTGCAGAAGTCTGGGAAGCGGGCGAAGGCGAAGAAGGTGTCAAAGGAGATAGAGGCGGAAATGAATGCTATTAAGGAGGTAACCATCGCCAATAACCTCACGGCGGAAGTTCTGGAACCGGAAGACTATGATACAGATCTGGAAGAAGAAAGTATGTGTTTAAAATAATGTTTAGCGGTGAATTTGTTTTTAAAAAGATGCCCAGAAAAATCCATTATCACTTAGTGGAATTAAGGATTTTGGAAATTTATAAAATACTAGTATAAGGTAATATTTTCAAATTAGTTCTAAAACTGAATGGACACTAGTTTCTTTTATGCAAATTTTGACACCAATTAGTTACCTCTGAATTAAATTGCTACCGTTTTTCCCTTAACAGAAATATAATTGGCAAATCAATGTTTCTATTATAGAAAACAAACACAATGCAGAACAATTTCTGGCATGCTAATTGACAAAGCATAGGAATAAAAGCATTTGTTGCTTGGTAATCACATAATTCAATGTAGAATTATGCGTTAAAAACAGTGTCTCGAATTTTTCCAGTGCACTAGTGAAGCACTATAATTATGGTTTTCGTGCTTAAAGTTAAATGCCATATTAAAGATGAAATTGTCTTTTAATCCATGTAAGCTTTAGAGAATTCAACAAGCCCTAGAAGAGGGAGTAGGGAGGGGAAAGAAAATGCTTGAAAAGTAAATAAACTAACAAACAAGAATCCGGTTACTTCATAATTCTTTCATGCAGATGAGAAAAGTAGCACTGTGTTAGCAGACTGTAAAATTAATATATATACTTACTGTTCAAATTTTGTTGATAGCTTGGGCCTTGATTTTTTTTTTTTTTTTTTTTTTTTTTGTAAAGCTGCATTTAAAAAAAAATGTAAAAACCGGTAGGGAAGTTTGTAGATGACCTTGTTATTTAAAAGCTGTCGATATCAGTGACAGAACATATTGACAAAGTTGTTAAATACATGCCTTAAAACGCATAACAGGTATTTGTAATGTTTAATTTAGGTCGACAACGACATATACGCCGAACTTTGATATCTTTTAAGACATTTTAACTAGTTTTCCATCAAATTCAGTTTGAAATTGTCAATAAATCCAATCGGAGCAAATATTTTGCAAATACAATATTGTAGACATTTACAGATTTTTTCTGTATTCAACATTTTGCTGACCACGATCATTTCGTTTACAGCATTTCCAAAGCATTCTTAATTTTCTATCATTTTGTATGTTTAACATTCTGGGTGAGTATTGTTATTTAGCTGTGAAATATTCATTAGATTTAATAAAGTTTTAAACGCAGGGGCATTAATCCGGAGAAAGCAAGCAGACAAAGTTAAAAGGAACGGTAATGGTGACTGACTGTAAAGTAGACCACTCAAACCATGAATTAATACGTGTTTGGTTTTCTGGCATTTTGGTTTTATTGTGACAAGGGCGAGTAGCGCATGTACTCTTTTTAAAGTCATTTTTTTATTTCCATGCAACAATCATTTTACTAATTAGTGATGGATCCTCAAGAAACTCACATTTCGTCATTCATTCTGTGAATGGGAAGCACTGATAACTTCACTAGAGGGTTTTTAGACACATGATATTGATGTTGTTTGTCAAGGATTTTAAGGATTTTCGTCTTTTGGTCAAAGTTACTTCTTGTTGTATCAAAGTTGATTTTGTTGTTGTAAATTTGGAGAGAATCAATATTTTAAGAATTTTCTTTGAGTAAATTTATGAGTGTTTGTGTTATAAATTCTAGAAAATTTGGGGTCATGGGTGTATTTTCTTCACCCGAAGTGAACTGCTCAGAATCTGTATTGATATTTGCATATATCTTTTTAGTAACTTAACACAAGAATATGGGTACTATGGTGTTGCTATAAGATTTTAAGCTTGATTTTAACTTAGAGCGTATCTTTGTTTGCTTTAGAATACCCCAAATGCTATACAGTGCCTTTAGAGGAACGTCCACGTGTAATTTACACAAAAGCTTGCCACAAATTCAATTTGACTCCCTCATCCTCCTGTCTGCGAGGAATGACGACAGGGATCGTCAACTTAAATCATCAAAATCTGGGACCAGATGGCGCCAAAGCTGTTGCATTAGGTCTTGTAGTAAGTTACAGAAAGCTTGCAAAACAGTATTTCTTTTATATTAATAAAAAACAGTAAATTGTACTTGTACGTTTATGTATTTTAGCAATGTTACTTAAACTCACTGAGCACATGTTCGTTGTCTTGTAGTTATGTGAGACGGTGTCTGAACTTCACATGTCAGGGAACAATATAGGACACAGCGGAACCAAATATATAATAGACATGCTCAGAGAAAACGAGAACATAGCAGTGGTGGTAAACTATTCATATTTCTGTTTAGTTGAAATCTCTTTTATAAAAAATGGGACAAATCGAAGATTCGGGGGTATGTAGTTTTTGGTCTTTTCGTCTGTCTGCCCGCGAAAACTTTAACCTTCTCCGTAACATTTGATCAGTTGGAGCTAGGGCTTTGATATTTCATTTGTGTATTCCTTGTGACAACCTTTCTTTGGGTACCATCAGCTTTGACCTTGACCTTGGAGTTTGATCCACTTTTTCAAAATTTTCATTAAACTTTAACATTGTCCTTTTGAACAGATGGTGCTATGGCTTTCATACTTCACATGTATATTTTTTGTGACAGTACCTTCCCTGGATGCTAACATTTTTACCTTTATCTTGGAGATTGGCCCATTTTTGAAAAACTTTAACCTTGGCCATAATTTTTGAACAGTTGGTGCTTGGGCTTTCATATTTCATATGTATACATTGTATTCCTCTCCTTGGGCACCAATATTTGTGACCTTTTGACTTTGACCTTAGAGTTTGATCTACTTTTGAAAAACTTTAACCTTGATCATAACTTTTGAATGGTTAGTGCTAGGGCTTTTATATTTCACAAGTCAAGTCCTTGTGACTAGATTACCAATACTTTTGACCCTGGAGTAATACATGTATCTACCTTTGAAAAACAAAACTTTAACCTTGGCCATAACTTTTGAACGGCTGGTTTTAGACTTTCATAATCCACATATGTATTACTTGTGACATGTCCTTCCCTTTGGTACCAGTATTTTTGAAATTTGAACTTGTCCATCGAATTTGACTTACTTTTGAAACGCATTAACCTTGGACATCACTTTTAATGGTTTGTGCTAGGGGCTTTCATATTTCGCATGTGTATTCCTTGTGACAGGTCCTTCTCTTGGGTACCAATATTAATGACTTTTTGAATTTGACCTTAGAGCTTGACCTTCTTTTAAAAAACTTTAAGTTTGATCATATTTTTTGGAATGGTTAGTGATAGGGCTTTCATATTTCTCAAGTGTAGTCCTTTTGACTATGCCCTTCCTTAAGTAACAAAACTTCTGACCTTGGAGTAATATCTACTTTTGATTGATTGATTGATTGATTGTATGTTGTTTAACGTCCCATTCGAGAATTTTTCACTCATACAGAGACGTAACCATATACCGGTGAAGGGCTTCAAATTTTGACCTTTACTCGGCACTCAGGGCCATTGAGCAGTGAGGGATCTTTTTCGTGCCAACGTCTGCCGTGACATGGGGCCTCGGTTTTTAAGGTCTCATCCTTTCACTTCACTTCAAAATGCCGAGCACATGGCGAAGGAACAGTTGCTACCCATTTTTTATCGACTTAGGTCAGTCGCGGCCGAGATTCGAACTCACGACCTCCCAAACACGGAGCGAGCGCTCTACCGACTGAGCTACCGTGAACGGTTAAACTTCTGAAAAAAAAATAACCTTGGCCATAACTTTTGAACGGTTTGTTTTAGGCTTTCATATTTCACATGTGTATTACTTGTAACAAGTCCTTCAGGGTTAACACTCGCCCACTCGCTAATTGCGAGTAAAATTTGTTGTGGGCCCATAAAATTTATAACTTGTTCGCCCACGTAGCGAATTAAAAATCTGCAGGGGACCGGAATTCATTCCCAGTCCCTTTACGGAAAAACAGACGTTTTCCCCGGGTTTTTGCTTTAAAACTCCCAATCAATTAAATAAATCAAAGTCGCATGGTCCTATTGTTCGTAAATATCCTTCATCTAATCCACTTACCAGTACTACATGATTTATGAAATCCCTAAAACGATCGTCTTTTTTTTTTCTAATCCGAATTTCCTCCATTCCTCTGTGTATGGTTGATACGAGGTAGATATCCAATTAAATTATTTCCAATTACTCAATCATATGAATAGTAAGTATTATTACTTATTTCAGATAGTTTAAAAATATTTAAACTAAAGGAAAAATCTTTATTCATGTGTCAGTGTCACTTCATCATGTAGTCCAATGACCAGAAAAAGGGACTACGTATATTACCTTGTAAAAAAGGATAGTAAAATTGTTTATTGAATTCAATTTCATTTCCTATGATTAAATATTTATATGATATTTGATTTTGTCTAACAAATTTAGCTGTGGGCTCCTAAATTTGGAACTTTAGAAGCCCACATGCATGGCTAGTGGAAATTTTAGTTAAGTTTAAACCCTGTCCTTCCCTTTGGTACCAGTATTTTTGAAATTTTGACCTTGTCCATGGAATTTGACTTACTTTTGAAAAACATTAACTTTTGACATAACTTTAAGTGGTCGGTGCTAGGGGCTATCATATTTCACAAGTGTATTTCTTGCAATTGCGACAAAACCAGTATTTTTGATCTTACGACGTTGAGGTTGGAGTTTGACTTACTTTTGAAAAACTTTATTATTTCTGAATTATTGGTTCAAAGGCTAACAATTTCACTTTTGATTCCTTGTGACAAGACCTTTCTTTCGGTACCAAGTTTTTTTTTACCTCTTGACTCGACCTTGGAGTTTGATTTGCATTTGAGAAACTTTAACTTTAGCCATGAGCTGCCATATACGGGGGCATCAATGTTTCACAAACACATCTTGTTGCAGGATGTAAATCCAGATTTTATTTTACAGAATTTGGCTGACAATAACCTGCAGTCTGATGGTGCTAGGTTGTTGTGTGAAATGTTAAATGAAAATGACGCAATTTTGTCTGTAAATGTTTCAGGTAACGTCTAGAATTTCACTGTTCAATATTTAAAGAAAATCTTAGCTTCATTGCACACGCCCGTAAAGAAAACGTAATTATGAATAATTTATCTCAATAATAAAAATATCTGTCGATTTATTGCGAAAACAAGACATAAAATCAAGTGTATTGGTAATATTTAGGGTATAAATAGTAGATTTATTAAACATTGTTGAAAATAAAACGAATGATTTCACATGATCGATTATCATTGAAATTAAATATTTGCATTTATGCAAGTCGATGCCCGAGTTTTAGAAGCATGAACGTAGTTTAAAAAGGACTTGTTTCAATGTATTTCGTTTCATATAACTTAATTCTTCGAAATTTTTTATTTACAGGAAACAATTTCAAACCTACAGATGCCCATTCATTTTACACAATGATGTCATATTATGTACGTAAATCTCGGATTGTCTTTGTTTATCTGTACTGATTCTCAATTTCCTCCCTACATCTGTTAATTGTTCGTTAATCATATTGTGCAAATAAGCTGTTTATAATTTGATGAACTTGAAAAAATCCATGATTGCTTATTTTGTAGAGGTGTACATTGAAGGAACTCGATATTTCAAATAATAATTTTGGAGAATATGGCGGAAAACTTATAGGGGAAGCAATAGGTAAGAGCACTGTCGATGATTGTGTACGGTAGTTTCAATTTCTTACATTTTACATGAACTGTATACAGCCTTTCACACTCGGAGACAATTTTGCCCGATTTTGAATTCGCCCAGCCACAGTTGTGTTTGAGAGATAATGTTGTCTTTCTCGAATTCGTCCCGTTTTAAATGTACCGACTGGGGACGAGAGTGAAAGAGGCGAAAATAAAACGGGGGCGAAAATTTTCCCTGAATACAGAATATGGAACATGAGGTATTAAATAGAGTCCATAGTAAAAGTATTTATTGAAATATTTTGCAAATTGGTCTTTGAGTAGTTTTTTCTCATTTACCCACGCCTTGAGTACTAGATGCATCTACCATATGAATTTTTAAATCTAATGACAATTGAAAAACTGATTGAATGAATTTTAAATGTATCAAAGCGATGTTTTCCGCTTTGTTAATTCAGCAGATTTTTATTTCAGGTAACAATGACACGATTGAAACGCTTAACATAAGTTGGAACGGATTCGGGTTTAATGGAGCTAAGGCAATTGCTAAAGGACTTGAGGTAATTTCGTTTGTTTATTAATATTTCCGAAACATAAAATGTCACTTTTTATTATTTATTTATTATCTACCTGTACACATACAGCTTTCACAAAATTCTTTTTTATTTTTGTGCTATGTCTTGTAGGAAAATACGTGCTTGAAGTCTTTGGACATATCGTGGAATGGACTTGAAGATCATGGGTCAGAACTGATCGCTACAGCGACATCAATTAATGACGTCATGATTAATTTAAACTTATCAGCCAATAGAATTGGACCGAAAGGACTTGGGCTAGTATTAAAGGCCATTTCAAACAATAAATCAATAAAGTCGTTAAATGTAAGACTTAAAATCCTACATTTCGTGAAATGATAGTGTTATTTAAAAGCTGAAGTCTGTTATTTATCATGAATTACCTTTTTTGAATAGGTGAGTCGAAATCCTATAACATTTGAAGGCCCAGTTATTGCGGTTCAAACAATATTAGAACATCCTGAATGCGGACTGGAATCCATAGAGTTTAGGGTAAATGTTTGATTATAAGGACAAGTTTAAGGTCATACTTTTGGTAAAATTTACAATTATATTACATGGTCATAAGATTAAACGGAATGTTGTACATAGTTTATGAAGTAAGTTATATGCAAATATAAAACATTCAAATCTCGGAACTTTTGCGTTGTATATCGTACTGAATTTAAAGGATAAAACAACGAAAAAGAAGTTACATACTCTTTGAACAAGTATTTCACTATAAAGAAACTTGTTCCACTGTTTGAATGCAGGATATGTGTGTTCCTCGTCAGTTTTTACCCATTTTAATGAAAATCCACGAAGGCAAGCCACAGTTCCGCGTGAAACATGGCGGATATGTGAACGCCTCTGATGTTCTCCATCACTCTATGGAACAGAGAATGGAACACGTCCTAAATGATCCTATGATGAGATTATTACAATATGTCCACGACCGGAAGCTCCGACTCGCCGACCTCTTCTTCCAGTTTGATACAGATAGGAATATGACCATCAGTGACAGTGAATTCGTCGCTGGGATAAGGGTATCATGTCATTGTCTTGCATGGTATTATAATTTTTCACTAAAAACAATATTGTCATGAATTTGAGTTTCAACGTTTGTTTTTGTAGAGAGCAGGAATTCCGATGACAGATACCCAGATTCAAGAACTGGTAGATAAACTAGATGTTGATGGAGATGGCGAAATTGATTTTGGGTAACTGCTTAATATCGTAGCATTTAGATTTGGTTTGTCATACTTTTTAAAATTATAAAGAAGAGGCAAAGGTAAATTAAAAATAAATAACATATTTAATTATATAACAAAGAAATCTACCGTGGAATTTTTTTTTTTTTTTTTTTTTTTTTTGGTTGGGGTAGGGGGATTCCGATGACAGATGATGGAATTGTGTCAAGGAAAGGTTAGGAAGAATAGTTGGATATTGGGTTCTGCTATTGTGTTTGTTTGTCAGTGTAACTTTTTTTGATTTTTTTTTCATCGTTTCCTCAGTCAGTTTTAGCCACATTTGATTCAAGAGAATCTAAGTTAATTCAGATGAAAGGACTCGTCCCCTTCCAAATCTACATAATTCAGATCAAAGAATAGGCCAGCAAATATAAATGTGTATTTTGAAGGAGGAAGGTATTGGAAATACATGTACTCTTTAATTAAATGTCTACTTTGAATATTTGTGGAAGTATACTTTTGAATTATTAGAATCTGATCTGCTGGAGTATGTTTAAATTATGACGTTCAGAACTGGGATATGGTTAAAAAAATGGTTTTGAAAAATTTGAAATTCAAAAGTAAACAAAACATTATCTCAAAACCGACATGGCCACAGTTTGTCAAATTAATAAGCAATCATTCTTCTGTACTCTAAATTCAAATCTTGTACCAGGACTAGACCAAGATTAGTCGGATTTCAGGAATAAGTAGGCGATATCCGGGAAAAAATATTCTGTATGTTAATCAGCCTTGATGCCACTAAATATGTGAGTCTTTTGTTTATATAGCGAACTGAAACTTGGAGAAAAGAAATATCTACAGAGAATACAAAAAGTTGGTGTTGAATTACCGTTCGGAAGCAAGACGGGAAAACAGTCCTCCCGACCAGCCTCCAAAACGTCCAATGTGAGATCCAGACCAGCATCGAACACGTCACGTCCGGTTTCCAGCACGTCTGCGCAAACCATGGACAGACCGATGTCTAACACGTCACGTCCAGTTTCCAGAAGATCTGTGCAAATCATGGACAGACCAATGTCTAACTCTTCGAAGAAAACAGAGCGCCCTAAAACAGATCCAACCACAGTTTCACTGTCAAAGTGAGTTATTTTTATTTAAAAATCTGAGGTGAAATCTGATATTCTTTCAAAATACGATCATTTGGGTAATTGAAGACGGATTTTTAAGTAACGTTTCAGCGTTGAAAACAACTCTGAAAGCAAACAGGAAAAGTTAAACACTATTGAGGTGGCCTATTACTTTTTTTTAAGTTTTAGCTCTACTGGCCGAATACCGTTTATGCAATGGTGAGATGTTTGTCTGGCTGTTCGGTTTTTTTTTTGGTTTTTTTTTTGGGCAAATTTTAAGTAGTTAATTCTCCTACAGTTTTGGTCACATTTCAATAAAACTTGATACACAGATAGTTTATACTGATACATAATTATATAAACCGGCTCTCTTCTAAATCCGCCAGTGTATAAAAGACTTGAAACACAGATATACTAAACCAATGAACACAGTGCTGTTTTAGGTGAACATGGCAATGGCTTCTAAAATAAAACATACAGTGTTTAGAAATCTTTCAAATGTTTCTCCTACTACAGTTTTGGTCTGATTTCAATAACAATTGTTCCCATAGCTTTTAAAAAGAACATGTAAAAATTTTCAAAATGCTAATCCGACAGTCTTGATTTTATTTCAGTAAATCAGTGCAAGTTTTTAAACTCAGGGGTACAATAGTAGATCATCAGTAAAAAAAAAAAATACGTTGACAATGTCGTTATATACTCGTTATATAGTATTTTTCATAAATTCGAGACCAACACATTAATATATACATGTAAAAGCATTCAGTTATTCGATTTGTCTGTTCCATTCCATTTGGTCAAATGGAACTCACTTTTCTTTAATTTTAATCAACATGATTTGTCACCACGGAGCCACTTGACAACATAATATAACGTCGTGACATTTTCTTAAAAATACCCCTCTAAATTTCAATCACGGTCTTTAGCGTATAGCCCATTCATTAAAACGTTTGCATTCCATTTAACACTTAGAATGCTAATAATTGTTCAAGTAGCGTAAATAGCAAAGTAGTTTGTTGGTGCTTGCATTATTTTTACCGTGGAAATCGGTAGCACTCATTACTTTCCGTGCCGGGTAATCCATCTCTCCTCGGACCGTCCATCGTCCGATACAGAAATCTCTTCCAATCAAAAACTACCCTTTCCATTCATACACAGAATTACTTTTGATACATTCCCTGCTTTCTCCCGGGTTTTGAGCTTCCCGAATGTCACTAAGAAATTATCCTGCAACGTCATCATTTTTTTTCCAATGAGGACTACCTGTCTTCTGCAATTGGTGTCTGCTTAAAGAAGCAGTATTTCGAACCGGCAATTCTGCATATGAAATCGTACATCTATACTCAGATTGAACATTTTACAAAGATATAACAATATACATATAAAAGGTATATATTGTAAATTGCGAAATATTTACACGCTCCGTGACCCAATTTTGGCAGTTTTAACTTTCAAATAATTTTGATAGTCACCATGGTATATTTGATTCTTTTAATTCATATCAGATTTATTGTTGAAATATGTCTACCATAATATGACGTTAAATAAAAAAAAGTTTTGACGTAAGTCTACGTATTTTTTTAACGACCCTCGTAAGGTTAAAGTAAAACCGGAAAACGTGTTTCAAATACACGTCTTTTCTCTTTCTTTATTATAAATGCAAACCAGTCGAGCTACAGTCTCATCAGAGAATTTTTTTTTGCATGATTGCTAGAGTGTCTGTTTTATGAAAACAAATAAAAGTAGCTTGCTAATCTCATAGAAAGTCACTGTATTTTAATGTTAGTTATTTATAATTCCTCAAAACGAGAAAGTAAAATGCTCTCTGTGTCTGTTAATGCAGGGATGACTGTTACGACATTTCAGAAAAGGGTAACTTTTTTTTGCAATGATTGGAACCATTATCCCTGCATTAACAATGACATTTTATATCTGTATAAATTATTTGTAGAAAGTAGATGCAAGTGCGTAAAATACTGTAGGCCTATAATTGATTCATAGGTTACATTGATGAAAGAGCCCATTTCTTAAGAAATCTTCTAAATAGATGGTTTAAAAACCGGTTCTACCTAGTTTAATGTTAATGTATTGATAACGACAATTTAGGTTTTCTAAAGAAGTAAAGAAGAAAATATTCGTTGGATGTAAATATTAAGATATGAAATACATATTTCAGAGAAATGAGCGACTTGAAAACAGATTTAGAGGACTTGACAGACAGCTCCTCGTCAGGAGAATCGGAAGAGGAAGGTGATAACACATAATCCAGTGACTGAACAGTTTACTTCACGTGCCAAAATTATTTGAAAAAGTACCTACTGCAATTGTATTCTATATTCAAAATATTTTTTTTTTCATTTGAACATAATATATGTGATAAAATTGATATAAATCGATTAAAACTGTGAAAAAATTCAACAATATGTATCTAATTTGTTTGTTAGTGAGAGGTTCTGAAAAAACTTTATGTTTTCTTAGGTATATTTCATAACCTGTCCAGATTTTTAATTGAAAGGCAACACTGCGAGAAGTATCCTTCCATATATTTACACAAGGAAAAAAGTAACTGTGCATATCAAAAAGCTAGCTCAATAAAATTTTATGTAATATGTAATCTTCAAGCTGGAGAGTGATCTGACAATCGTTCTAACTCCGTTTTCCTGTTGCTTAGGAAAATTTTGTCACAGTACCGAACTTAAGTAAGAAATGTATTTACAAAAAGCAAAAGTATTCTGCGTTTAGCTACAGTTCCTCCCCACATCACCTCAGTACCCCCATCCCAGACTAACGTTAAACAACAGAGTTGTCAGATTAGATTAACACTCTCCATCTCGACAGTAGAACCTGGATCGTTCGTTATGGCTATGTAATTTGTCCACAACCAGAAGTTTGCCCCACTCGATCCCTAGTCCGAAATATCTGGCATTTTCCAGGCTTTTTTCACGATTTTGATATTTTACGTGCCAGGAAAACGTCAGAACTGGCGCCATTAAGAAAACTGGAAATTTCGCATTCTCCAACCATAGTTGATACTTGCAAACCAAATTCAATGCCGAACTTACAATTTATCGATAGCACAATGCTTCTAGTACTCACCAATATCGATGAAAAGAGAACATCACTCCCCATTCGATACAGGACTTGCAAGATTTTAAAATGCACGAAATGAAAACAAATCTCGACAGTCAGATAAAATGTTTTCACTGGATTGTATATTTTATAAACGCAGTGACGTAGCATCGTTTTTGAAAAGGGGGAGGGGGTAACCCGAGGAAAAAATTTTCAACTTACCGGAAAAAACTTGACAGGCAAAAAAAAAAAAAAAAAAGGAAAATTGTCTCGAAAATCCTATTTCGTAGGGGGGGGGGGGGTTGTTAAGGTAGGTTCCAACTTCTTCTAGTACCAATTTCTTTTACTCAAACACTGCATTCCCCTTATATTACCCTTATTTGACAATATTGCAACCAAAAGTGGGGGAGGGGCAATCGGACTTTCAATGAACATTTCCTATAGAAAAACTTATGTCTGGAAAAAAGTGGGGGGCCAGGCCCCCCTGCCCCCCCCCCCCCCCGATACTACGTGCCTGAAACGAACCATAAAACGATGTTGGCGAGTACTAAAAAATATTGTACTCTTTTTGATCACCCCTCGTATTTTTGAATAAGCACCAGAACATTTCAGGTGAAAAGGTACACAGGATTATATGTGTGTTTACAAAATGTTATACAGCTGGAAAATACATCAGATCAAGATAATGACGCAATATTCAGCGAAGGATATACAATCTTTGCAGGTGTCAAGGTAATAACTAAATCAAGGCGATCATTGAGTAAATTTCATAATTTGATGTAATCATACACCATTTAAACTTGTATTGAATTATATATACATATATGTGTTTACATGTCTATATGTATGTATGTCAGGATGGCCGAGCGGTCTAAGGCGCCAGACTCAAGAGCAATAACTCTTCAATCCCAAATGTCGATTGTGGGTGTTCTGGTCCACGAATGTGGGCGTGGGTTCGAATCCCACTTCTGACAAACAATTTTTATCATTTAAGAGGGCTTGGTGGTTGTGGCCATTTTCAGACTATGTTGATCTCCTTTAGAAGAAGAGCTCCGTATAAAATATACAAAATTGATCAAATTTTAAAACTAAAATGTATGGAATTTTTGTTTGCCAAATGATAGTTGACAGCTTAAGATATCATATCTAAAAATTTAAGTTATATCTGATGGTTAATTTGTTGACCCCCCAGCCTCCTTAAAAGATTAATGAAAAATCCATCTATTTTATGAAAAATTGCAATCTTGTCTCTCATTGTCCGACAATAAGATGCGTTTTTAATTTCCTAGCACTTCACATGCCTTTCATTACAACATCTGTATAACACTTCAACAGTAAAAAACTGTAATTAATTTATTGAATAAAAGTAATATTTTGTCACAGTGTGAAAGAATATCACTAGTGCGAAAAAACTCTTGGTTTTTCCTTCCCTTCACGAAGAATGTTGTAAAAAATACTCCCTTTTCTGAGAAAATAGAACATCCTGACAGAGACTCAAACTGCATGCAAAGTTTCTCCGTATATTTTGTTAAATTCCATGTATACGATGTTTTTTTAATCTCACAATCGCTAAGTTATTACATCTCAACCGCTCAACTTTGACGTCTCAGCCTATGACACTGTGCTATGCTGGCGTCACATTGTCCCGAAATTGACTTAAGATGGACACACGACAAAGGAGATAATAAGGGCCATCTGACCGTTATATGTATCGGGCCATAGTGAGAACATCTTAATCAAACGTATGTTACAACGCACTTTGAAAAATTACGCACTTTGAAAAAAAGTTTAAAGTGCGTTAAATTTGGGACCAAGTAAACGCACTATGAAAAAAAAAATTCATTTCAAAGTGCGTTAATAGCGACCACATTAACGCACTTTGGGGGAAAATGTGCACGGTTTGATCAATATTCTTGCAAATTTTAGTATGAGAAATAATTAGTTGAATCTAGTTGGTTAATTTTTTGGTGATGACGTCACTTAAGGATCTGAGATATAGACGTTTTAAGGATTTTTAGGGGTTGCCTTGTTCCAAAGGTTCTCGTAAATGTATACATGTAAAAAGGAATGGGTCAATTAGAATTAATGGTGGAATGATTGTTTAATAGCACAATTTAGTTTACTTTTTTATTATACCAATCTGTAATAAGTTAGGTAGATAAAGGGGTCGATAAATCACTAAAAGCATCGCAATTTTCTTAGGGAAAGAAAAAATCAGCACATTATGCTCAGCCAATCCTGCACCTCTCAACAGATTATAGACGTAATAATTTGTAAAGCTTCAATTACAAATCCCCTCATTTAAATTTAGTAGTTGCAAAAAAGCATACTTTTATAACGAGACATCCAGGAAAAAGAAAGCAGTAGCATTGCTTCGTTTGATGAACCTTGGAGAACAGGATAAGCAACAGACCCAGACCCAGCACCTCCACTTACAGGTAAAAATGGGTTTTTTTTTCAAGTGATCATTTCTTGCTATTTCGACAAATGTACTAATTTTGTTTTGCTTTTTATTAAACCGAGGTCCATGTCGGTCAGGAAATGGCCAAAGGAAAACTCTATACCAGTCTGCTAAAGGAAAAGAAGACAGAAATTAAGATCTACAACCGCAAAAGATTTTCCAGTATCTTTACGGTGAGGTCCTGCACAAGATAGAAAGCAGACTAGAGAAGAAGAACACACTGTACAAAAAGTTTCTCCCACCTGTTTTCAACCTATCCATCACTCTAGGATTCATGGTTTGCAGTGGCAATTATCCAAGGTTGTACTTCAAAATTGCTTCAAACACTATCCTCCCTCTCATTAATAAAGTCTGCGATGCCATCAAAGCCGAGTCTCTGCGGAGGTGATCGAGTGTAATACTACTCAACTGAAGAATGGACTGCAATTTACTTCATCTCAAACATTTTGATAAAAGAGGGCAATTTTCGTATTACTGTGGTGCTGTGGATGGCAAGACTGTGGCTGTCCTTGGAGAACTGACCCTGTAACTACAAGAAACAGCTTCTCTTTCATTGTCACCATAGCCCTGGTCGATGCAAACAACAAGTTTTTCTTGGTTGATGTCGGCTCGGATGGTTCCAGCAACGATGCCAATATCTACAATAGGTAAAAACTGGAAGAATGCCTGGAGAGTCCGAACAACATACTCAATCTCCCTGAAGAGAATTGTGTACCTGGTTGTGACGTTCCTGTAGCATAATACATAGTTGAGGAAAGAAGGCAATGCTTTTTGGACCAACAAACCTCTGATAAACCTAGTATTTTTTTTAACCAGAAATATGGAGTACGATGAGAGAATATTTAACTACACACTCTCCAGAGCTAGGTGAGTAGTGGAGATGCCTTTGGAAATCTGGTAAGTTCCAAGATTTGCTGAAGACCGTGAACCAGAGGTCAAATACATGAAGAAAAATCATCACGACTTATGTGATGTAATCACATCAGACTGAGATATCAACCATCCATAGCAAAAGTGGTGGAAGAACGGAACCAGAATATAATCCCAGAGGCATAGATCTAGAGAAATAACAAAGAATTTCTGGGTGTTCACCATTAGAGAGCTAGGAATACTGGGATTCATGAGTGGATTCAAATTAGAAGATACCTGGGTCACTTCTTTACCTTAAAAGCTATTTTAGAAACATAAGACCGCGGAACATTAACTGGCAAGATTGGAAATATTCAGCTTACGTCATTTCCATCTGTTACGATCAAAACAATGAAATGGGTGGGTACGTCTGAGAAAACACTGGATTGAAATTCTAGTTCGAAATTCATTTTCAATCCACCTAAACTATTTCATACGCAAATTAAAGTGTTAATGTATGATCCAAAGGAAAAATAATTTCAAGACCCAAATACATGTACTTTGCAATAAATTATATCAGATTTTTCTTTCCAATATTTTTAAGGACTCGCAAAAGTTATAGATACAGAATATATAGATTATATTCTTTCAGGGTACGGTCATTTAATTCATTTTCATGCCTTCACGTAACAGAAATGTTTATTTCTAGGGTGACAAGAGATATTATATATTTTTTTCGTCACTGAAAAATGTTGACAAAGAAAAAGGGGGAGGAGGGGGTGTCCAAACTCAAAGACTTTCTGATTTATTTCCAAGAACTTTGAGCCCCCTCCCCCAAATGAGGAATCAAATGGTCGTTCCCTTTATATTTCTTTAAAAACAGTGGACAGAAAATTCTGATTTAATTAAAAATAAAAAAAATCCGAAATTGAAATTA